CCTGCTGTAAGCTGTCAATATCAGGACATCAGCATCAGGACAGCTGGCTCATGTGCCAGTCACCACTGATCACAGCAGACACATCTCAACAGTGATAATGTTAGCTGGTGGATCTCTGACCTTCTCTCCTACCCGTCCTCAACCCTTTCTTTCCTGAGCATGTTCCTATTGCAGTATCCTCCAGCTATCAGTTAAAATAAATAAATAAGCAGCCTCCCCTCTTCTGCAGAAGCAGTCTTGAGTATCATGTTCTCTGAAAGTTTCTCTTCAACCTCCAAATCTGTTTCAGATATTGTTTGAAGAGATCTGAGAACTACAGTCAAGTCTTGTGACCCAATCTGTATTTGAAGTCATTTCAGCTGATGGTAAAATAAACTGACTGGCAACTTCTGTAGACTACCCCCTTGGATGGGGTGTAGAAAGCAGTGGACTGCTGTGATGTCTTCTAAATGAAAACTTAGTGGGCAGTCATTAGACTTAATTTTAATAGAAATCCTTGACCTATGTGTTACGGAAGCAGTGTTGCTCCTATGACCTCCCAGTTTGTTATGGCTACATCTGCCTCCGGAGACCAACTCCTGCCTTTGTTACTAATTACTATTGCATCTCTTTCTGAGATACCATGGTATGCTTTATTGCAATGCTGTCAGCATATGCACCTTGATAGAAAAACCACTTGTTTTTCTAAAGTGTATTGACTGATGCATCCATTCTTCACTCTCCCTTTTGGTGGCTATCATGGCACTCTGGATGAATGGGTGCTGCCTATGCCCACAGGTGAGAGGGTGGGAGAGACCATGAGCACTTACAGGTGCTTTTACAAATAAATGTTGGATCTTGCAGCTCCCCAGATACCCACAGATCCTCACAGTTAGATCCTGCATGAGAGTCAGGGGTTAAAGTGGGGTTAAAGAGGAGCTCTGCAGCAGAACATTGCTCTGCTTCCCTCTCCTTTGGGTGCTCCAAGGGCTGGTGTGAAGGAAAGATGGCCAGTGTGACTGTGTGGTCTTGCTTCAGTAAGTACAATGTTTTCAAGTGTAAAAAAGCTTTTGGATATTTAGTAAAACCCAAAACAATTTACTAAAAAAGTAATTAAATACCTTAACTTCAATTGTGATAGGGATATAATTTTTTTCAGCAATTAGTTGAGTTAAACTGAATTTGCATGTTTTAGTATTAATATTGGGTTTAAATGCAGTATTAGATATCAGTAGGGCTGTTGGAAATGTTGGAAATGGAGATGAATGATATAAATGTGTAGATTCAAGGAATAATTTTTTTGGCTTCACAAGTTTTATTAGCTGGTATGGGCTCATCACATTTCACATAGCAGATACTGGTTTTGCATATTTGGAATCTTAAATCAGCGAGTAACAATAAGCATATCCACAGTTTCTGGTCTGAATACTGAAGTATGGCATGAAGTAGGTTCACTTTATCCCAGAGGCGGAAACTCAATCCCAGGAAGTACTCCACAGGCGGCAGCAGCCCTGCTGCCATCCTGACCCAGATGTGGATAAAATTCCAGCATGGTTATTCTCAGTGTGATCTGTCATGCATCACTGCTGCGCAGAGACCCACCTCAAAATGCAGATGGTTGCTTTTGGAGTCATTCAGGCCAGGTTTTGGGAGGCTTTGCTTCAAAGTCCAACTGAAAGTCATGGTTGAGGGCATCTTGCAGTGTGCTGGGGCTGATGGTGCCACCGTGTGCCCCAGCCACTGACAGCCACGCTGTTCCTCTGGCGGCCAAGATCCACTGCTGAAACTATACTTTTTTATCAGGTTGTGTTTACATCTGGCAAAGATTTGTAGACACAACATCATTAACAGCAGTGCATATTTTCACAAGATTTACCTCTTCAACACTTTTTCCAAGTTAGTAAATCATAGCTTCTCTAATGTCCTGCTGGCTGCGTGAAAAACAGGAATTTATGTAACAAGCTCTGGGCCGCAAACCTTTTCCTGTTAGGAAAATTTTTTTTTCATTGCTGGCAGAGGTAGGAGACAGCTCTGTTACTCAAAGAGCGACCTCAAATGTCCTCGGTACAATAATACCAGATTATAACATTTTTGATGACTAAGGAACAGCATCTTAAATATTTAACACTTGTGTTGCAGAGCAAAGGGAGCTGAACCTCATCATGGTGTTTTCCCTGCCTGATGTTTCGTGTGTTTGATATGCCTATTTTGATAGTAAACAGTGATCGTTAGCCAACTGGATATGTTTACAAAATACAGTAAAAAAATGAACTGGCACAGGAGGTTTTTTAATCAACAGCCGTGCAGAACAACTTTCTTGCGACATTTCTAGAGCTGGACTTGTGTCAGCCAGGGATTTGGCTGTGGCCCTTTGAGTGAAAACAACAGGCTGAGCCAGGCCAGCCTCACAAGGCTTCTCAGCCAGCCCCTGGGGCTGTGGGCAAGTCCAAAGATGGATTTTCAGGCTTACCCTCTCCATGTGTTAGCTGCACCTGGTGCAAATAAAATTCCAAGGCCTTCCCTAACACCCTGTTGCTAGATTGAGGATTGATTGCAGAGTTACCTGCAGGGAAGAGATTCAGTCCTACTTGATAATTTGTAGGAGAATGGCTTCCTTTTGAAATTGAGTGAGGAAGCGCTCAAATCATAGAATCATCATGGAGTCGTAGAATGGTTTGGGTGAGCTTAAAGATCATCTAGTTCCAAATTCTCCTGCCATAGGCAGGCACACTTTCCACTAGACCAGGTTGCTCCAAGCCCCATCCAACCTGGCCTTGAACACTGCCAGGGAAAGGGACTTGTCTCTGGTGTTTGTTTAACTGGGATAAATTGTTAAAGATGGTTCTTTGGAGGAGAGGTTGGAAACGCTTCTGAGTCTAGGCACATGATTTGACTCGTTGCTGTGCTGGTTGAACAGCTAGCCTTGAGGCCATGCTCTGCCATCATCTGCTGTCAGGGAATGTCTCGTGTCCCTGCTTGGGGTGAAGCTGCACGTTTTGGGAGGGTAGTCTCAAGACACTGGTGCCTGTGAGGTGTTGCAGGACTGTAAGAGCTCCTTGCTGCCCTCACCTATTGAAGGTTTCATCTTTGACCCTAGAGTAATCTCTGCTGTTGAGCTCTGCAGGTGGCCAGTCCTGGTTTGGCTGATTGGTTTTCTGTGGTCCAAAACATGTCATGCCTCTTGCAGGGAATTTGAGCCTGTTGTCTCTGATTTGAACCAGGGCCCATGAGATAACTGTTCTCATCTTGCATGCTTACTTATGGTCTTTGCTCCTTTCTTCTGTCAGTGAGATGTATGGGGAAAGATGTGCATCTTTGAGAAAGTAGATGTAGAGAAATGAAAGGGTAGGAAGACATTTTTGAAGATGCTACTGTCAGAAGCAGCACTCTGGGCTGTAAAATTCAGCAAATTCAGCACAGACCAGAGCAGTGGCTGTGTCCCTCATCCTCTGATTTGCCTCACAAGGCATACAAAGGTCCATGAGCTGTATCATCCTCATGGTTTGGTGCTGTAGTGGGCGTTGGGTGTCAGGTTAAAAACTTAGGAGAAGATAGATGGGAGTTAATAGATAGATAGGAAAACAGAAAATACAGAACAGGGTGTTTGTAGGTCTGTCAGCCATTTAGTTGTTTTGTCATAATTGGTCAACTGGGTTTTTGGTGAAGATCAACCTTACTCTAGTGCTTTCTAGACACAGTCTTTCCATTTTGGCTCTCCCAAAAGTTTCTTTGGACAAGTTGCTAAAAATTACTATAGATGGAAGGCGAGTAGCGAATCACTGATTTCTCTGCCATTGAGGTCTAATTTCTTGTTTATACATTTCATGTGTTGTTTTGTGGTTCCCTCGTACTTGTTCTGCATAAATCACTGTCCTAGCACAGACCATCCAGGTGGATCTCCATGTAGACCATGCTACTGTCCCACCCTTCTACCAATATCCATGGCTGCCTGTTTCAGCACTCTGTGAACTTGTGGCCTTTTTAGCCACAGTGTCAAGATATAGGAAAGCTTTTCTGTTGATACAATGTTTTTTACATGTGCTCAGCAGAAAATTATATGAGGAAAAATATGTTCATCTACAGCCTGGTAAAGCACAGATTAGTCTCTTATTAACAGGTCGACCTGTGGGTTTCCATTTTGGATTATTTATTTTTTTATTCTTTTTTTTTGTATTTAAGAACAAAATGTGGAACATTACTTATAGCTGAGGAGGTAACAAAAAGCTCCAGTACCACTGGTCATTCTTGGCACCAGGTATCTGATGCCCTCAGGTATTAGAAGAGTCAATTTTGCATATTTAAAATGTTGATTTTAAAAGAAAAAGATGGTTTGAAGACTGAGGTTTTCATGTTTACATGTCTGTGTTCTTTGCATTCCTTCCTCTCTTATGATTTCTTAGGCAAGTTGTGTTTATTTATAAAAATTAGAACTTAAGCCTCAACTGGTTTTCTATATGTATTTTCTCATATAACACAGGTAATATAAACCTCACTAATGCTCAGTGGCAACAGTCACAGTTTGCATGTTGCAGGTTTGCAGGATTTAGTGATGTGCAGGATGAGAATCCGTAATAAGGACCATAGAACAGGATTTAGCATTCCTGAACTTAGTGGAAAATAATAATTAAAAAAATCCATAAATGGAGTCAGGTTCAATTCGCTAGGGTGAAGCTGATAATGAGATCTTCAGTCATCTTCTTGGTCTTTTGGTTTATTTTGTCTCCTTTATGAGGAATTTTTATTTCAGAACAGTTCCTTCAGTGTTTTATTTGACTTTTTATAATGTCAGATGTGATCGGGCCAGATGACAGACAAATTGACATGATGACTCTTTGTAAGCTTGTTTCAGCCAGTTCAAGGTGGTGAGCTGATAAAAGATGTTTCCATACTGGCATGTTTTCTTATTTTATGAGTACTCCTGTGTTTCTAACAAAATGATAGTATGTTTACAAAAGCAAATATTAGTATGCCATAAAAGATGCATATTTTCTCTATTTCTTACATGTCATTCTGTTTTTCAGAATTCAATCCGTCACAACCTGTCTCTGCACAGCAAGTTCATCAGAGTGCAGAATGAGGGAACAGGGAAGAGTTCCTGGTGGATGCTCAATCCTGAAGGAGGAAAGAGTGGCAAATCTCCTAGGAGGCGAGCAGCGTCCATGGATAACAACAGCAAGTTTGCCAAGAGCAGAGGCAGAGCTGCCAAGAAAAAAGCATCCCTTCAGTCTGGTCAAGAGGGAAATGGTGACAGCCCTGGATCACAATTCTCAAAGTGGCCTGCAAGTCCCAGCTCTCACAGTAACGATGACTTTGATAACTGGAGTACATTTCGACCTAGAACTAGCTCTAATGCTAGTACAATTAGTGGAAGACTTTCTCCTATTTTGCCGGAGCAAGATGATCTTGGAGATGGGGATGTGCACTCTGTGGTATACCCATCATCAGCCACCAAAATGACTTCTACTCTACCCAGCCTTTCAGAGATGAGTAATTCTGAGAACATGGAAAATCTTTTGGATAATCTTAATCTCTTGTCACCTAATACATCAATGACTGTGTCAACCCAGTCTTCATCTGCTACCCTGATGCAGCAAACACCAGGTTACTCATTTGCGTCCTCAACCACAAGTATAGGCTCACCAAATCCAGACTACAGGAAATTTACTTACGCTCAAGCTAGCATGAACTCTTTGTCCCAGATTCCTATGCAGACTCTCCAAGACAGTAAATCAAGCTATGGATCGATGAGCCAATATAACTATCCTGGACTTTTGAAGGAGTTACTGACTTCCGATTCTCCACCGCACAATGATATCTTGGCATCAGTAGACACTGGTGTTTCCCAGGCTGGTGGCAGGGTGCTGGGCCAAAGTGTGCTGATGGTCACTAACTCGGTGATGCCAACTTATGGCAACCAACCACCCCACAACAAAATGATGAACCCTAATGCCCGCCCTCACCAAGGACATAACCAGCCAACACCTGCAGTTAATGGCCGTGCCTTGTCACACACAGTGAACACCATGTCACACACTTCAGGTCTAAATCGCTTGTCAACAGTGAAGACTTCGTTACAAGTGCCTATGAGTCACCCAATGCAGATGAATGCTATGAATCCGTATGCCCCTGTTAACAGTTGCAACGGCTACGGAAGGGTGGGAATTGTTTCCCTCCACCAGGAGAAGCTTCCCAGTGACTTAGATGACATGTTAATTGAACGGTTGGATTGTGACATGGAGTCGATTATCCGTAATGACCTTATGGATGGAGAAACATTAGATTTTAACTTTGACAGTGTATTGCCTAACCAAAGTTTTCAGCACAGCGTAAAGACAACCACACACAGTTGGGTGTCAGGCTAGGATGTAGTAGGAGGTAAGCTGTGCTTTTTCTGATAAATCTGCAAAAGAGCTAAAGGGAAAAAAGATGTCAAAATGCTTAAAATCTAGGAGGTCTTCTGTGTTGGCATGTGAACTGCCTCTATAACAGTCAGTCACTTTCCAGTCCTTTGTTAGTTTGAAAATCAGGTTTCCACTGGTGCATTATGATTGTTGTGTACCAACTTCTGTTACTTCTTGTGGAGCACTTACGTTTTGTCATTGATGTTTTAAACAAAAAACTTGCTGGTAACTAGCCAGTAATGATTAATTTTTTTCCCCCTGTTTAAGGTATCTTAAATATAGTTTGAGCATATTTTAATAGATTTAATCTTCTAGTGTGAATGTTAATTTGTTCTTTTTGTTGTTTTTTCTTTCTTCCTAGGCTATGGTTAAATTCTCCAGACTTGTCTGACAGCAGGAACTGAGAAAAGCAGTACAAAGATGTCCTTCACCTTTCTTTTTAATTTTCTTGACAAAGCTGTGCGCATGCACTGACTTTTTGGGGGGGTCTTTTTTTTCTTTTTTCTTCCTTTCGTCAGAGTTGGCAGCAGAGAGAGTGTTTTCCTGTACAGGATGTTTGCCCAAGGTTTGCAGGTTATGTGCTGCTGTAGATAAGAACTGTGCCATTGGAAATTTCATTACTCTGAAGTGCCAAATTCACTACACCATATAATCTCAGCAAAGACTCTTACTTACATCATGTCGTGCTTTCGGTTTTGTACAGTGTGATCTATAGAAGAAGAATTGTTTTCTAAGACTATCTGTTTTGGTCCAAGAAAAATTTATAAACTTTTGTAAGAATACTGTGATGATCTCATGCCCTAAGTGAGTTTAACCTTTGTTGATGTTACCTGTGTTTTGATGAATTGAGATAACTGTGGACTTGCCTTGCAGCAGTATGAACTACATTATTTTACTCAAAATTGCCACACATTTCATATGGGAATAGAATAGCCTGTTAAATATGATCCTACTAAACTCATTGACTTTTCAAGGCAAACAGTAGGTTAAATGCCATTTGGTAAGTTATCTGTATTCGTGTAAATTTATGCAAGAATATATTTCACTGTCAGACTAATGACTTTATTGTTGGGCTTAAGATAATTTTTGGAATACTTTCCAAGCTATTTTTCTTATAATTAAAATCTACTTTTGTTACGTAGGCAACTTAAAAAAAAATAAATCTGAGATCTGGCAGCATTCATAACCTTTCAATTTTGTACAGTATTTTAACTGGATTAAGTACATGTTTTTATAAATTTCCATACCACTTGGGAGTGCTAATAAAGAAAAAGCTTAATAAGGATATTGAATACAAAACATTTCTGTTTTGACATCCCTTTTTTTGTTGTGTGATGTATAAATATAGACAACTTTATGTTTAGAAAGTATTTAATCAGTTTTATATATGCAGTTTTAGAAATGTCATCTGCTTTTATTATCATTTTCACTCTGACTACCACAAAGTGTTAAGTATTCATTGTTAAGATGCTTGTACAATGCTTCACATTTATATTTATTTCATGGAGGTCTCATAATGTTTGTGCACTCAAGAGCAGGACCTTTTTGTGGAAAATTCATAATTGTAGTAAAATTAACAAAAAAATTGTCATTTGTCATAATTAGCACTAGTTTTGGGGTTCATCAGTGTTTCTTTTGTAAAGTAGTACATTCGAAGAGGAAAGAATGCTACCTTTGAGTGGGAGGCTAAAATTTCCGTGCCACCTTATTGCAAGACAAAACATTATGTTGTCTTTTTTTTTTTTTTTTTAATAAGAAAGATAAAGTAAGTGGCAAACTTATACAAATGCATGAGCTTTAGGGTAGGGGAAAGCATTAATGAGAGACATCTTGTTTCTGTGGAAAAACTTGCTCTTGTTGGAGTAGGCACACTGACAGCTACCAGAGCATTTTCAGGAGTGGGTCTTGGAATACATGACTTCTGATTTTTTGTAATTGCACGATGCAGTTTTTATGGATGTGTGGATAACAGGCCTCACCTGTCTTTTCACTGGTTGCTACACAACATTTGTGTTATAGAAATCCTTGGAGCTTTTTTATGCCCTGACAGGATGAACAGCTTTTGTGCTAGGCCTGGCTTTTATGAAGGGGAGAATCAAATATTTTTACACTGAATTTTCTTTTGTCTAAATGGCTCATAACTGGAAAACGTTCTAATTGAAATTTATCTTCCCTGTAGTGATGGTGTATGGTGCAGAAAGAAACAGGATGTGCCAAGTAAATGAAGTTTAGTAACAAGCTATATATTTAATGATCCTGTTATGACTTTCCTAGGGCTCTGCAATGTATTTATTGATGTGCTAGCATTTAGCTCCCTGCTGGGCTTAAATTGCTACTAATTACAGCTGGTCCTACTTTTTTAGATATACTGTTATGCTTGTCAGCAGTTCCAGAGGCTGATGTTAAGCTGTCTTGTGATACAGGATCTCCCCCAGCGTGAAATCAGTCTTTGAACTTGCTTTGAGCAAAATCAAATGTTCTTAGTGCCAAAGCCTCAATGAAGCCACCTGCTTTTACAGGCAAATATCTCTAGTAGGATCTTCGCTATCAAATTCATTATCTCTGAAATGTGATAGTAAGTACTGGCAGTGGAGCAAGTAAAAGTCTCACATAGGTTTCTGAAGATCCTTCTTTCTGCTGCGTGTGCAAAAATGTTTGCTCCCAAATAGGCACTGATACACATAGGCCAAAATAGTCGTAAAATTCACATCTGCATGCAAAGAAAGCAGTACTCTATGGGGATGCAGCTGAACATGCTACATTTAACAATATACCTCCTTTTTATTATTAACTGCTACTGTATAACTTCCTGTAAACATATATTTTATTCATTTCCTTTTATAACTATGAATAACGTAAATGTAGCCGTTCCTTAATTACAACAGTCTGTAGGAAGCCCTTTTAATTATTGTGAGAAAACAGTTGTAGGTAATCAGAGGTTTGGATGTGTGATCAATTTTTTTTTTTTTTTGGTGGTGCCATTCTATTATTTTGCAATTGTAATTCTGGAATACTGTGAAGTTTGGTGAAGGAGCATGTTGTCTGCCTTGAAAACAAACATTATGTGACCTCTAGTAATAAATCCTTTTTCAGTAAAAGTACCAAGTTTCTGGAGTAATTGTCAGAATTGTTGTAAATGATTGATTTGTGAATTGTGCAGATGATCTTATCTATGCAGCCTTGTTTTTGACTTTTCTCTGGTTTGTACTGTTATTAAAAGTTTATTGTATTATAGAGCTGTTCAGATATTTTAAATATAAAGATGTATGGTTTCCATAATATAGCTATATGATATATGTTTAGGTAGTAGATGCATTAATTGGAAAGCTCTGCTTTGATAAACTGACAGTTTGCCTACACTTATAAGCAAAAATCGTATTGCTTATTATTGGCTTAAATCAACAGAGCATCCCTGAGAAGTTAAAATTGGACCAATTATAAAACAGTATAAAATTTGCACTTGTTAAACCACTGGATGTATGTTAGTACTTTTTTATTTTTTTACTGATTTGAAATTCCTATTTTCATTATGAAATTGCTAGAATTCTTAATTTATGACTGATTTTAAATAAGGTATTCTCATTATTATTATTATTATTATTATGGTAATCATAATGTAAGATGCAGCATGGTTTATGCAAGCAAAAAGCAAATTATTCTACATTAAAACTGGCCTCTTTTTTGAAGGTGTTCCACAAACCAGCAATATTATGAAAGATTGGCATGTACATACTGCTAGTTCTATTTGTGAGTGGTGTGACAGCTCTTCAACGCTTCACTGCTCTGACTTAGTCACATTGCAAAATTAAAATTCATATGTGGATATTTTCAGAAAAAGTGCCTGATGTACTTCTACAGACACATGAGAACAATCCCTGACAATTTGTTGTATAAAGCCATAAATGTATATAAATTATGTTTAAAAGGTTTTGTGTCCTTTCTTGTATACAGAGAATGAGATTTGTACCAGTATTCTACTTGTGATTAGTAATCCTTCTACTCAGACTTTGTTGTAATCACTTTCCTTACCATGTAATCTTTTTAATGATGATGATCCCATTTGGACAATCCTGATGGCATTAGCAATTTTATACAGAAAAATACCTCATGGTACCAAGTTTTGCCTGGTGAGATGATAACATATTAATGAGCAAACACTAACTGCAGAATAGTTAACAAATTTTCCATTACTTGGTATAAAGGAATTTTTCTCTTTTGGCATTGCTTGTGGAATTGGAACTGTAGCAGGTACAGGAACCTAACAGGGCTGTGTTACCAGTGTTCTATCACAACCTAGTGTGCTAAAAGTAACTTGTTTACAAGTCTTTGAGACTAAACGCAAGAAGAATCCATGCCTAACTCCTAGGGCTCTTGAGATTTTTGTGTAGAGATGTGTCATTTGTTACTGGAAGCTGCATTAGGTGGCATCAGACCATGTTGCCAATGCTTCAACAAACGTAGTTCAGAGAAAATTACAAAGAAGTCCTGAAATCCTTTCAGAATGGGTATTTGTAAGTATAAGCTCTTAATAAAATTGCTATGACATGAGATGGTAATTAGTGTATCAGAATGTTATGTAATACATTATTAAAGAAGAAAAAAAAGGGATGCTAACATCCATCAAACCACAGGAAAGAATTAGTCTTTGAGTGCAAATTACATGTTAGAACCTAATGCTATTAAATGCGGGAGAGAGTCAGCTCTGGAGCGAGATTTTTCTCTTCCCTCTACTCCCCCTGTTAAAGCAAGGCAGTCCACAAAGCCCTCTTGACCCTCTTTGCCCTGGTTTTCACCTCTTGCCTTCCTCTGCCCCTCCTGAAGTATGTACCTTTTCTCAGAGTATGTGTTTTCTTTGTCAAACATTTGCGATACATAGGCCAACTTGCACGGTGCCGCTCCTTTGGCAGCCATGCTTTATGCTGTGGCAGTGGGAGCACTGCTGATGTGAGTAGAGAGAGCAGGAATGTCTAATTTTTCTATTTTTTTTTTTTTAATTTAGATTGTATTTCAAAACAGAGCTGGAAGAAAGGATGAGAGGCTGCCAAAACAGACAGCCAATAACACCCACGCCACAGTTGTCTTGTGAGGCCCAGATTCCTGCTTGCCTGCAGGTGGGGAGGGAGAGTGGTGGCAGAAAGCAGGCTTTAAGTGAATTGCTGGCAAAAAAAGCCAGTTTGATCTTAAAGTGAGTAGAGATAGACCTAAAGAGCATGAAAGAACGCATTGCACATAAAAATAGAAATTTTTAAAGATAGCTAAAAAAATAATTTCTACTTGTACTTTGCAGTTCCATCTTTATTTTAGCTTCGCCCTTCTTTCTTCAGTGCACATTTTGGAAGTATTTTTTCATTTAGGGGAAGCTGAGGATATCTTCCCTGACATTTTGAAAAGGCTGACTTCTGGAATGAGAGGGTTGTAACATCTAAAGAGACTCTATTTGGGTGTTCGTGAAGTTGTTGTTGGAAAGGATGCACATTTAATTGGTACATGACTAGTTACTGCTGCCAGGAGAGATAGTCAAAGCTTGTCTCTTGGGAAGGGACTGGCTAGCAATTTATGCCAATCTGGCAACAAGGGATTTGAATTTGCTGATCAAGCACAGAAACCTCAAAGCATACTTGTGCTCTGAGTGAGTTCTACGTCATGGTAATAAATATGTTTTTGTGCAGAAACATCAACTACTATGTCATGCCAATTGATAATCCAATTAAAACTACAAATGACATTAAATCTTGCAGCCATTTATTGTGCAGCTGGTGTGCAAAGATGTGGTTTGTGAAGATCCTTGGAAGGAATAACTTGCAGTGATCAGAGCTGGGGTCATGCCCAGTGCTGGATTGCATGCAAATCTCTGTTTGTTACCTGGTGATGTTTTGCTTTGGGTAATGTTCTGGCATGTGCCAATATGATAGCTAAAATGAGGAGGCAGGGACAGCGCCTCATCTTATTTTATATTTTTCTACTTGCTGTTGGACCCTGGGGCATTCAGAAATTTTGCATGTATTTTTTGCAAGTAAACTTCTTGTGTGGGTGTTTATCACTGAGGTGATGGGAAAATGGATGAGGGCTTCGGGCAGTACAACTGGAGGAGCATTACAGGAAGCTTCTGATGGGTATAACAGGGCTGTAGAGTGAAGAAGCAGACAAAGAGTTTGTTCATAACTTGGACCCTCAACATTTTACATCCTTCCTGTCTGCTCCTCTACAGTTGCTCATGCCACCCTTAAATGAAGAGGTCTTTCCATGTGAGATGAGTGAATGTTGGCCTCTTCTCCTAAGTAACAAGAAGAAAGAGGAAATGGCCTCAAGTTGCCCCAGGGAAGGCTTAGATTGGTTATTAGGAAAAATTTCTTCACTAAACGGGTTGACAAGCATTGGAACAGGCTGTCCAGGGAAGTGGTTGAGTCATCATCCTGGGAAGTATTTAAAAGTTGTGTAGATGAGTCACTCAGGGACACGGTTTAGTGGTGGACTTTGCAATGCTGGGTTAATGGTTGGGCTTGATGGTCTTAAAGGTCTTTTCCAACCTAAATTACTCTATGATTCTATGGTTACATTTCCTTCTCAGTACCCTAGAGGGACACTACCTGAGCAGGCAACTACCCAGACCTTGCACAAGAGTTTTAGAATTTTTTCAGAGAATTGTGTTTGGCAGGAATGTCTGAATTGTTTCTGAAATATTCAATCAACTTCAATCAAGTGAGAAGAGCTAATGGAAAAGCCCATTATAGAAACGTATGTGCATTGGAAAGGGGGATGTGTGAGAGATTCTGGGATGACGATGCACATTAAGTGGTTGCTTCGAAGGCCGAAGAACCTCTCGGGGGTAAGGGCTAAAGCAGCAAATAAAAGAGCTTCCTTTCTGTTGGATTTTGAAGTGTCCAGTAACAGCCACAGATGCCACAAAATCCTGGCCTGAATTGTTGCTTGAGTGTTTTTGACCAGGTGAAAACAAGTGATGAGCTGTGAAACCCTTTGAGAACTGGAGTTTCATTTCAGGAGTCCAAATAAGTTACCACTTCCTGCTCCTCCCTCTCTTCCTCCTGCACCCCACCAATTTACAGCGCTTGAGAGGAGTGTTCCTGTTTGGGTTTTGTATTTTCTTTTTAAAATATCTTTCCACTCTGCTCAGAGGAGTTGGACTAGGCAAGGCCCTGTGCCCTCCTTTTATCTCCAATGCCAATGGCTGAGCTGTGCTAGGGAAGTTCTTTGCCTCTTCCTTCCTCAGCCCATACAACAGATCTCTCAATTTAACACCCAAATGAGCCCCAAAGCCAAAGTTGATTCACTCAGTGGATAACACCAGGAGCCCTTTGAGGTGGGAAGTTTTGTCTGCTGTGACTCTTCTGCTGGGAGGCTTCTGAATTGAAAATAGCCTGGGATGACAGGGGAGGCCCTGGGAAAGGGACTTATCTTGGAGCCATTCAGTTGTTCCACTACTGGCCCTGTCTCACCCAGCCTCAGTGTCCTTTAACTCTCATACCCTTGTTGATCTTCAAAGCAAGGCTTTCTGAAGAGGGCTTTCTGAGTAGGGTTTCCATGTCCTCTTCTGCCATGGGCAAACACTGCTAGTATAAGCACATCTGTCTGGAAGTTTATTTTCAGCAAAAAATAGGAAGTATGGTCCTCTTGCCTACAGACTCTTTGAGCAGCTATTTGTCCTCATCTCAGTGGTCCTGGTGTGGTAGGTACAGAATGCCAAGAGCCTGCTGGTGACTGAGAGGAACGCCAGGCAGATGGGGCTAATATTTACTCCAAAAATAATATTGAATAATAATATAATGATATTGGATATGCTAGACTCCAACACAACTACTAGGTGATCTGTTACTTAAATAGGACTTCATACCAGATAAATTAAGTTAAAAAAATGGTGATGATGGTCTTCGAAAGGGGTGCTAGCACAATCGTAGGAGCTGTGCTTGACTTCCAAGTGGGGTAACTTCAAAGAACATGTGACACAGACTCAGTAGCTGTGTGGAGTGACTGGGGGAAAATGGCAGCCATGTTCCTGCTGGAGGAAGCTGTGCTTCACAAATGTGCCTAAGTTAGCAAGCATGGGAACATGAGTGATCAATGTGACCTGTTTGGGTTTTCAGTTGCTTCAGAATTTTCCTCATTTAAGTTCCTCAGACAACTGGGATATAATGGAAGTCCTCAGTGCCTACCCTGATTTAAAGGGTTGATCATCCAAATGTGAGTAATACTTAGCTTTTCCATGCTAGGGAGCCTTGCCTTTCCTCAAGGACCTGTGTTGTTCAATGAGTTTGAATAGTCAGCAAAAGCAGTTGATAACCTAAATCACTGAGGGCACAGCTATACAGAGCAGTGAAATGTCAGGATGTGCCAAGAGCTGCGGAAGGGTTTCAGCATGTTTTGTGATATGTTGATAAACCAGCAGATATGATTAAGTGTTGAAAAATGTGGAATAATGCACAGGGGAGGAGGGAAGAGTGAACTCTGGATGAGGTGTTACCACCATGAGAAAGATCTTGGAGTCGTTGAAAGTATTTCTTCTAGATCTCAGCTCACAATTAGCTGTGGACAAAAAAACCCACAGTAGAAATAATAGTAGGACTAGCAGAGTTCATAGCAGAGACTAAATAGGAGAAAGGATGAGGGAGGGTAGGTATAGATGAGTAAAGTGATAGGGGTTTGTAAAATTGTGGATGCTGTGGAGAAGGTGAATAGGAAGTGATTAATCAGTATTTCTTGTGACACAATTGGGGGCACCCAATGAAATGATCAGGCAGCAGGTTTAAAACGAACAAGAGGAATTGCTTCTTCACATAGTACATAATTAAAATTTGGAACTCGTTGCCATGGGATGTAGTGAAGGCCAAAAGTATAAATGGATTAAAAAAAAAAGATTATAAAAGTTAATACAAGATATGTCCATCCAGTTAAATACAGTGGTCCAAATGCGGCCCATAGCTCAGGAAGTCTGGAAGCTTGGAGCATATACCAGGGAAGGCATTACTCAGTTTGTGGCCGGTCCCTTGTGCTCTTTTCTCCTATGCATCCGCTGCTGGCCACTATCAGTGACTGGACATTGTTGTAGGCGGACCTTTTGATCTGACCTTACAAGAGTTGTCTTCAGAGTCTTAGTTATGCTGGGAATAGGTACAATCAGAAACAGTTGCCTGACACCCATCCATGAAGAGGTTTCAAACATCCACGTGTCCCTTTCCAATTCTCTGTCAGTGATCATGGATATTGTGTTGAGAGTCTTACTGGATACCTTTCACTGGGAGGCATCAACTGGAATTATGTTCTCACCATAATAAATTATGATGTAACAAATGCAAAATTGCCGGTTAGATTTTTTAAGCTTTTAGGGCAGAAAAAAATGCAAAGAAATATGTCAGAGGAAGACAGAGCACGGAGAAACAAAATCTCTGTTCATCCCAAGCAGCTCTTCTGTAGCAGCTATATGGAAGCTGTGGTCAGGGGAAGGATAAGACCGTGTGTTAGAAATCCCATGCCTCCTCCCACACCCATGACTAAAGCACTGCTTTTTTTTTTTAATTTTGTTGGCTGATAAGGTG